CGCGCACACGCGGCCTCCCCGCAGCCGGGCGCGCGCAGACCCCCACGCCCAGCCCTGCGCGCTCCCCGGCGCGCCTGCTCGATGCTCGCCAGCCCCTGCGTCCCCAGCGCCCAGGCTGATGCGTGCGTCTTACAGTTGAGGCTGGCAGGGGCCAGGCGGCTGAGCGGCAGACTCGGGGCTAGGATTCGGACCCGAGCCCCTCCTCTTCGTTCCCCCTTGCCGTCTTTCTACGCCGCGTTCAGGGCACGGCCTCGAGGCAGTCCTGGAGGGGTTTTCTTGTTAGGCTCCACACAGAGCTAATTAGGAAAGAAGAAACCGTGGCAGTTCTTTGCTCTCATGAGAAAGGCGCCATCTCCTTCCAGAATCGATGCAGAATGAAGGGTGGGGACACGGCAGGTTACAATGGCCTGTGTGGGGGCTGTGGTCCACAGGGAGTCGTGTGCTCGCAGGAAAATACCTCTGGAAACTGTTCTTTGGACAATTCCAGGAAGTCTGCCCCACCCAGAATCGTCACCCTCCAGGGTCCCCTGGGAACAGGGGAGCAGCTTTTAGGCCGGAGAGCTGGGTGTTGCTGTACGGGTTTTGGTCGCAGCGGTCTTTGGGTGGAGGTGGCTGGATTAACCAAAAATAATACTTCCACGCCTTGCTGGGTGACCCTGTGACCCTGCAGTAGTGCCGTCTGAGAACAGTCCCCCATTTTGGTCACGTGGCCGTGGGACTGTAAACAGCGTGGCCACAACATCACTGCGTGAAAAGTCTGCGTGAAAAGTTGGAAGAATAATTCAAGGAACACCCATATATTACATGTCTCCAAGATTAAACTGTTAATAATTTACCATCATTACTTTCTCTCTCTCTCCTAAATACTTCAGCTTGCATTTTGTAAAACTGAAGATTTTTCTACACAACCACAATACCACTATCACACCGAAGAAACTTAATTTGATAATATCACCTGCCTTCTAGTCCGTATTTAAATGATCCCAATTGTCAAAAAAAGTCTTACCTGTTGGTTGTGTAGAAAGATGATCTAGTCAAGATTCATTCACCGCATTGGTTATGTTTGTCCCTTTAATGTAGAACAGCCCACCCCCCTGTTTTTTTGTTTTCATGGCATCAACTTTTTGAAGTTTCTCAATTTGTCTGATTATTTTTTGCCCTCCTAGTATCACTTAACTTTTCCTCTAGCTCCCGGATGTCCTGTAAGCTGAGAGAAAGGTTTAGAGGTTTGATTAGATGGCAAGAATCCTTCATAGGTTATGGAGGCTCTTCATTCTGTTTCCCATCAGGGAGAACATAGCATTAAACATTAAACACATAATATCAGTTGTCCCAATATTAGTGATCACTAGGGTAAGGAAATGTCCTCCAAATTTCTGTTATAAACAATTATAAAAAAAAATGTTTCCCTTGTGTGGTTAATGATAATCTGTCAGGGGAAGACTTCAGAACTCTTTGGAGGAGAAAGTCATAAATCTCTGCAAGGACAACAGGTTATACAAGACTGAGGTGTACTCCCACAACACACAACCACAAGATGTCACTCAAGGTGAAGTGTCCTCAAGGGGTAATGAATAAGCTAATATGACCAGCCCTGGGTATGAACACCAGTCTGTGAGAGCATATCTTTGATTTATTTGACTAAACAAGGCACTTTTAGAAGCACCAAGGCACTTTTAGATCAGTGAACAAGACAGACAAGGACGCTATAAGATTCACATTCTTAGGGGGAGACAAACAAGTAGGCAAGACCATAAGTGCTGTGAAGGTTATAGGGTGGGGCATGTGATGGAGAGCGACTCTACAAACAGACCACAGTGTTGATGTCACTCAGGAACCCTTGACATTGTTAGAAAACATCAGCTTTGGTCAGTTGTCTCTTCTATTCCACTGAGTGGCTGTGAGCTTTCAGTACAAGGCATCGTGACATCAATTTTGAGCCTTTAAAGACAAATCCGATTCCAAGATGGTGACGGGTCTGGAGCGGCCGTGCCAGGAGACAGCGCGATCCTGAGAAGTGTGCGCTGTGATACCAGAGTACTAATTGCATTTCCAAGAGCAACAAAAAACGAATAATTCTTTCAACAACGATCCTACAACGACAAACAAGCAACAACAGGTTCGAGGTTTTAGGGCCGACACAAAAGAAGACTCCTGAGAGCGTCCAAGCCCTGCTGCGGGTACGAGCGAGTGGCCCGACACAACAAAGGCCAAGTAAGCCAGCAGAGACGGCACAGAAACGGAGTGGAACACGCTGGACCAGCCCAACTCTGCGAGCTCTGTGAGTCACCCCCAGCCCAGCCCCACTTGCGGGGCGAAGCCCGACTGCTCCCCGCCCGCCTGGCTCCCGCCTACCACACCAGGCTGGGCGCCCACAACAGAGCTGCCTCCATTTTCTTGGGTGGCGGCAGAGACGGCCGGCTTATTGAGGGCAGGCCAGCCATCTCTGCTTTGCACAGCTCCTCACTGAGACGTGCCATTGGCTTACCTCAACGCGGGGCACCCCGGGGCCTGTGGACCGGCCTACAATCCTACTCTCCCCGCGGAGCTCAGATGGGGATGGTAGCGTGGGGAGCCCCCGGCCAGCGTCAGGAGGGCAAGGAAGAGGAACCCGCCCGGATCGTCTCTCCGCCACGCCCTGGGCGTCGGCCCCAGGTAA